AACTAAAGCATTCCTTACGTGTGTCCTATTTTTTGTTTGTAGTGCTTTAGTTTGCATTAATTTCGAATGCATTTTTTTTTGGTGTTGAATCATTTTAACATAGAAGATAATCTGACCATGTTTTACATTTTTTCATTTGGTGAGATCAATATTTATCTATACATGTAGTAAAATATACTACTATCTCCTGATCTTTAAACATACTCTAAGGATAAATTTTCTATTACGTATAAATCATTTATTTAACATCAAAGGACCCTCGATGTACAGTTATTTACATTGTAATCTGTTATTTATTTGACTTGCATGTTTATATCATTCTTTTGTTTGTCACAATTTATGTATACTATGTCCCATTGGATCCTTACGTATCTATACGGTTGTAGAACTTTCCTAAATATTTCCGGAAACTTCCCGTAAGTTCCCTTTGTCGCGTTGCCTCTGTTGTGTCCATGTACGATTTATGACTGCATGCAACATTAGTATATAAACTACCAACTCCAGTTAAATTAACCTAACTTAACAATTTAAAGTAGAGACAAATCCCAAAGTTAAAGTTACATTTTAAAAATTTCTGGCTTACAGAGTAACGTACTGTACATTCTTTACATGATAGTATATGATTTGACATTTCTGAAATAACTATTTTGAATCCAGAAAGTAATAAATTATGTCTAGTTCTAATTCTAGATTTGTTGTCAGAACTAATTAATGGATTAAATAATTCAGATTGTGATTAATAGACAAAAGAATAGTGTAACTTAATTATAATCGATTAAGATCTCATTTGATATGGTTCAGTTATCTTTAAAAGGGTTTTGTTGAAATGGTACATAACAAATTGTGTATAAATGCCTGTTTGACTGAAAAGGACATTTTGAAGACTACAATCGATAATAATAATTTTCGAGTTAAAAAATGACTTAATAGTAGTACTCTTTAGAAAATAACCTTTACTGTACTAGAATTTTAATCGTATGAATCTATTAGAAATTCTAAAGAGTGTAAACAAGTGTTAATGGAAAATTTGTAATATTAAATGCAACTTTATGTAAATTTAATATTTGATCCAAATTACCTTTTTACGCTTAATAATTTTATTTTTCCATTTCTCATTGTTTCTAAAATTAATTGACTACGGCAAAATTAAATTATGTAAATAAATTTGAATTTCGAGCAAGTCTTGGAAATTTATTTTCGAATGTAACAAATAATTGGTAGGTACTTTTTTTTCAGTTTAGTTGAACGTCAGAAAGAGTTTATGTACTAGTGCCAGACCGTTACTAATGAGTTAGAGCCTATAATCATTTATTATTTATCGCAGAATATTTAGAATTAAGTAAACCCGATCGTCTTGTTTTGATTAATGTAAATTCATGTTCCGAAAAAACTTGTTTTTGATGTAAACACCGAACTACATTCTAAATTTAGCGTTGCAATCTATCAATAAACACGTATCCATATGTCTACATATAGACATATGTGTTTACTGTTGTTCTTCAGGCACCTAATTCTCTACCCATAACATAAAATACTCGAAATTAATAAAGAAAAAACTGTTGTTGTTATCACATCCTCGCCGGGATTGGAACCCGGGATTTTTGGCTTCACGCAACAATGGTCACAAATCCGTCGAGCTAACGTTTATTTATTAATACTATACTAATGTATATGTATGAAATACTATTTGAAACACATTTAATGTTAGTTAATTTTGTAATTACTAAAATTGTACTTGTCCACACAGTTGTTTTGTTATTACCAAAGATCACAAATGTGATTAAAGCTCTACAAGTGAAAATTGATATAAATCTTGATTATTTTAACTTTATTGTTTGTTTTCTCATATTGATTGAATAGTTTTCTTGCTATCTCCAACCATAAACTCTTGATTGCATTTTCCAGGCGTTCTACTCCAGACGTGTCACCCTGTTCGACGTAAGAAGATAATAAGTAACTATAATCGATTTACGAAAGTATAACGTTTGGCTTATCTTCTAAGGTACCTCTACTAGGTAAAACACTCCAAGTCATGACATTAATTGGATGTGATAACATTTGTGTTTGGCATGTTCTAAGTAATTTTATTTTTCTTCTTTGACTGCTGTTAGCCAGCGCCAGTTAAGATGTTTTTAGATTTTAAATGCACCGTCATGGTTAAAGCGCCAAGGCATCTTTACGTGTTGACCCTTCTGGCAGGAAAATTTCGTAGAGAAGAACACTTTATTTCCCAAGACAAATGAAAGCGATGCTCTTTACTTATTGAAGTGTAAGCCGACGAGACATGTATGTATGCAGTAAGTGATGCAGTTGGGGTTCAAATTACTTTTAAATCGGATATATCAGCTGAAAGGGCACGTTCGAAATCAAGAAATGACAAGAAAATACCACAAATGGCGCGGTGAACGCCATCTGTAGTACGATGCTACATTTTAGGATTACGTATGTTCCAGCAAGGTCCATTTAAAAATATGCATATCTACTTGCTGAAACGAATCCCGGCGTAGCTCACGTCAACGTGATGAGCACGTTACCATAATCGAATAAAATAATTCGAAGTGGCCTGTATTCTGTCGGAACTGCTAGACGCGGATCGCGATTTCGATCTTTTTGTTTTAGTTTTAGAAAATACCACAAATGGCTTGGTGAACGCCATCTGTAGTACGATGCTACATTTGCGGTATTTTCTAAAACGGGCTGTTCTGTCTGTGTTCTGTCGGAGCTGCCTGCGACGCGCTGATGAGATCCAAAAAGATCGAAATCGCGATCCGCGTCTGGCAGTTTCGACAGAATACAGACCACTTCGAATTATTTTATTATAAGAAATGACAAGAACTGTAAAAATTTTGGAACTTTCTTAAAGGCTAACTAAGAATTATTTAATAAAGGTACCTATCGCTTTGTAAACATGTATGTATTTACACAGTGTTCCTAAATGCGTTCGATTAAACGGAGATAGTTTGATGATCCGACAATAAAAATTACCTACGCAATTTTCGGAAAAATAAGGGTAAAATATACGGCATGCGAAAGTGTGGATTTAAGTATTGAGTTATAATAATATGCCGCTCTCATAAATGGCAGCAAAGATGACATGCCCAAACCGACTAACTGTTGGAAATTAGGTAATTGTACACATTTCTATGAAGCAGCAATTTGCATAATATATAACTTGAGATTTTCCAACCAAGGTCCTTTTTTTCGCATACGGTATATGTTAGGCGCCGAAAACGTTTCTTCAGATAGTTTTCGGGGTTCAAGGAAAACGAACTAGAGAGGTGGAAGTTCAGCGGTACAATTACCAAAATAATATTTTGAAAACTGAAAGATACACACAAAATTTTGTTTTTCACTTCTATAGAATACTGCAGAACAGGCTGGAAGAAACTTAGAACCTAAGTGATATTTGACCACAATTTTTGTATTTTTTTCCAACAAAAGCCTCTAGAAACACCGGGTATATATACCTACATTCTTTTTATAGGTAAACTTATGTTTCATCTAGTGTGGAATAACATTGATCCACTTTAGGTATTAATTATGTAGAACATAGTGTTTACTGATTATTAACTATACTATCATCATATTTGTTTGAATAAGGAAAACGCTTGGAAATTGGAAAATGTTATTCGGGAAACTGACTAATAGGCATAGCGATAAAATTTATAGATTAGATAATGAAACAAAATGTGTGTGGCTGCTAGGCATAAGGGGATAAAAAGGGATATGATGTGCTACCATTTCAGTCTTTATTAGGTAAAATATTTCATACACGTGGAGACAAAATGAAGTGGTGAAATTATAGGATTATTAATATGAAAAATGTTTTGTGAAAAAATTATTCCTATTCAAATAATTAGGGCTCGGGTGTAGCATATGACATTTGCTTCTAATTAGCTAAAACACGTGGGCCGTATCTACTGCAAATATCGCAATAAAATATCTAAAAATCTTTTCTATAAACCAGACGTTTGCAAGTTTGAGGGTCCCGGTGTAGATGGTGTGCAACATTCACATTTTAACAATGGCGTTCGTCCGCCATATCGATTCTGTAGAAAAGCTTCTACGTACTGTAGCTAC